CCAGTCCTCAGGATCTGCTGGTGCCAGGAGGGCAGTCAGGCCTAGGCTGTGCTCCTGCTTATCTGCAGCTCCTCCTCAGCTGCATCTGTTACTGTGCTGCTCTGACTCTTCACTGGCCTTCCTGCTCTGTGGCTTTCAACACAGCCTGTCTCCCACCTTTTCAGGATTTTTTTCTCCTCGGTTCCCTCTCCCTTTTCTTTCTGAGGCACTGACCTCACATCTGACTGTTCCTTCTCCTCTGTCACCCTAGGCTTTGGTCTCCCTTCTCCTGGAGGAGAGATCCTAGCCAGTTCTCATGTGCAGTGTCCCCAGCAGAGGGAGAGGTTGCCAATCCTTTGATCAGCCATCTGATATCTCTGAAGTGGGGGCAGGAGAGAGCGATTTCCTTACGGAGTTCTGCTGGGAATGTCCTGCCATGGGCAGGTCCTGGGACCTTTGGTGAGCGAGGGCTCAAGGGAACCCCAGTGTGCTTGGAGCTGTGGATGCTGCACCCAGGGTTATCCACAGGGCCAGGAGATGCAGCTCACCTTTATGGATGTGGCTGAATCAAGCTGAGAGGAGCAAGTGCTGCTGGGGTGAACTCATCTGCACCACAGGTTCCTGATTTGATATGCCAACAGTTTTCTCTCCCTGTCCCCGTGGGGTTTGCTGTGCTGCCAAGCAGTGCCCAGCAGTGCCTGGCCTAGGATGTTGTTTTTTGTTTTCAGTTGGATGGCATCTTATGCTCCAGAAACACCCACTGATGGACCAGAAGGATTTTTTTCTTCTCACTCCCAGCCCTCCTCCCAACCTCGTGTCCCACCCCCACCCTCCTGAGCATCTCTGCCAAGGCAGAGGTGTCATGGGCCCACGAGGAGCTGCTGTCCCTGCCCCAGGGTGCAGACCAGTGCCAGAGGAGGGCTGAGCTCAGTGGGCCATGGGTCTGGTGTTGGAACAGGCTGTGGGAGCTGGGCCTGGATGGACACTTGGCTGCACAGCAGCTGTGCCAGGGTGAGCTCTTCACACCTCCTGGCAGCACGATCTGCTCAGCAACGCTGGGTCAAAGCAGAGGAAATTGTTCCTTAAGTCAGAGCTGTCCCAGGAAGAGTGGATGGAGAGAAGGGGCTGGAGTGGAAGGGCCTGTGTGAGTGGGCACTGGGCCCGCCGCGGGCTCGAGGCTGGCACGGCTGCTGCCCACCTGGGTGGGCTGTGTGCCCAGGCTGCCCTGCACAGCCTCTCCAGCTCCTGCAGGCCTCGTGGCAGAGCTCATGGCGCAGCCTGTGGCACAGCCTGCATGGGGCATGGGGTGAGCAGTGGGAACTGCGTGTGGGGTGAGACCTCGGGCAGTGCCACCCTGACTGCACGTCCTGCCTTGCAGCTGATGCAGCAGCAGACGACAGTTCTCTCCACCTCCCACGGCAGCTACCTGAGTCCAGGCGTGGCCTTCTCCCCGTGCCACATCCAGCAGATCGGGGCCGTCAGCCTCAACGGGCTGCCAGCCGCGCCCATGGCACCAGCCTCAGGTGAGCGCCGTGGCGGGGGCTTCGCTGCACTCACCTCCTGCCCAGCACAGTGCCCACCAGGTCAAACCATTCCCACCTCCCTCCGGGCTCAGTGGGGACCACTCTGCTCCTTCCTAGCAGTGCAGTTGCCAGTCTGCACATTTCTGCAGCCTCCCTGACGCATTCTCAACACGTTCTCTGGCACGGCTGCTGTTTGGTTTTGCTGCAGTTTGTCTTTGATAAAGAGGGACCAGGTTCCCAGGGCTGCCCCTGACTGAGGTCAGCACTGCTGTGACTCATTACCATCATCCCACAGTGGGTTTGAAGACCTGTCCAAAACAGGCAGTATCAGACCTGGATTCCAATGCTCCATCCCAAAGCTCTGAGAGCAGCTCAGACTGGCAGTGCTGCACACTCTTCTCACTAGTGCAGCCCCTTAATTTTGTGAAGGGTCCAGCACTAGGCTGTCACCCCCAGCTAGAAGAGTTAATAGCTTCACACTCAGCATTTTTCCCAGGCTGATGGCACATGGGAGCATGGGCTGGTGGGACCTTGACTCTGATGGGATGTCCTCTCTTGTTCTGCAGGGCTACACTCACCACCTCTCCTGGGCACAGCAGCCATGCCAGGACTGGTGGCTCCCATTTCAAATGGATTCACTGGAGTGGTGCCATTCCCAAATGGGCATCCAACCTTGGAAACAGTTTACAGCAATGGCCTTGTGCCATATTCAGGTATGGGGAGCAGGGAAAAAAAAAAAAGCAAGCACCATCCAGAGATCTGAGGAACTGCAATTAGCTCCTGTTTTCTGGAGGAGCCAGAACTTTTCTAGCTCCCTGCCAGGCAGGCACTGAGCCTCACCTGGGCAGGGGGACGTGGGAGACAACACTACCCATTGCACACAGAGACTGCATGGGTGATTGTCTTGCTGTTGGTTCCCTTTGCTGTGCTTCTGATGATGCTTTTCCCTGCAGCCCAGAGCCCTTCAGTAGCAGAGACCTTGCACCCAGCCTTCACAGGAGTGCAGCAGTATGCAGGTACCAGCTTCCCTCGGCTCCCTCAGGCCCTTGTGTGGCTCACTAGACCCCCAGGTGAGCAGTTTCTGTCTCTTTGGCCCACAGCTGTGTATCCAGCCACTGCCATCACCCCCATTGCCCAGAGTGTCCCACAGCAGCCTCCCATCCTGCAGCAGCAGCAGCGAGAAGGTGAGGGCCTGGTTGGCTTTGTTTTAGCTCATCTTCTGCACCACAGCACCAAGGGAGAGGAGGCAACACTAATTTTTGTCCACTGCTCTGTAATATTAGAGCTGGGTTATGGGGTCGCCCATGTTTCTGCAGTGAATGGACTGGAAAGATTCAGAGGATTCAGCTCAGCCCTTGGTGGACTGAGACAAGCAAGGGGCCAGCAAAGCAGGAGGCAGTGCTAGGGCTCTGCTCCTGTGCTGAGCTGTGAGTTGAGTCCATTTCTCTCCTGTCCCTTCGGGGGCTTTGTGTTTTGCCCTTTCCCATTGCCCTGCAGGTCCTGAAGGCTGCAACCTCTTCATCTACCATCTCCCTCAGGAGTTTGGAGACAACGAGTTGATGCAGATGTTCCTGCCCTTTGGCAATATCATTTCCTCCAAGGTGTTCATGGATCGTGCCACCAACCAGAGCAAGTGTTTTGGTAAGTGCTGGTGCCATGGAGAGGGAAGTGTGATGGACCAGGAGGATACTCCTGTACTGGGCATGGCACCACCAGTGCTGTTATTTTCCATGCCTGTGTCCTGTCCCTCAGGTTTTGTAAGCTTTGACAACCCATCCAGTGCACAGACTGCTATCCAGGCCATGAACGGCTTCCAGATTGGCATGAAGCGTTTGAAGGTGCAGTTGAAACGACCCAAGGATGCCAACCATCCCTACTGACAGGAATGAGCAAGCAGGAGTCACTTCTGCAGCACAGGTAAAGGTGGCACCAGTACAGCTCTGGCCAGCCCTGGCCAGGGGCACAGGCCTCACCTGCCAGGGCTCAGCCCTAGCACCTGAGCACAGTGACCAGAGCAGACCTGGAGGTGATGGTCAAGTTCCACCATCCAGGTCATCGGGCAAATCTCTGGCAATGAGGCAAGCCCAGAGTCAATTCAGAGAGCCAATCTGCAGGTCAGGGTTGGGATCAGGTCTGGTGAAGGCAAACAGGGTGAAGACATAGTCCAGTGATTGCCAGGCAGGTCTGTAACAGTAAAAAACCAGCTCAAATGTCAAGGTGGGAAGACAACCCGAGGGTGGTTGGATCCATGGGCAGGTGAGACTGGCACAGCCTGAGCTGCTCTGAGGCTCCAGGGCCTGTGAGCAGAGTGTGGACACAAGCTGAGTGAGGCTGCTCAAATCCATGAAGGCCTGTTGGTGCTTTCAGGGCCCTGCTGCGTTCAAAGAGCCTGTTGTGGTCTAAGCAAAGGTTTCAGGCTACTTTTCTGACTGCTCCCAAACAGATTACAATTAGAATGCAGTGGTATTGTGTTGTTACCTGGGCCTTGAAGTTAGTGTGCAGAGAATGTTTTCTGGGTGAGCCCATGATCCACAGGGATCACAGAGAAACTGAGACCCTGAAGAGCCATGGCAGAGCTGCTGTGGCAGAGCTCCTGGCAGCTGCACCAAGGGAGCAAGGGAGGGCTGATCTGATCTGTTCATACTCTTCCATGGCTAAGTAACAGCAACTCAGAGCCTGAGGTTTGCACAGATGTCCTCCTAATCTCCCAATTCCCTCCTTCCCTTTCTGTTCAGGTGAAGGGAAAGTCCAGAGGATGAATTTCTGCTTCAGGTTGATTTACAGAGAGGCCAGTAAATTTATTGACTCTTTTGACACCACCCCTTTCCTTCCTCTGCTTCCCACCTCCCCATCCCACCTTCCTCCGCCCTCCTCCCCAAGACATGCAATGAAAGAGAAGGCTCAATATCTGCCCAGGAGGAAGATTCTTGCCAGGATGGACTCGAATATTTGCTGCTAATGTGGTGCATAGCAAAGGGACCAGAAAACCAGCAGCCCCTGGGGACATGAAGCGCTTCCTCTGGTGTGTGGCTGGAGTACATGGACCAAGAAAACCCACTGGTGTGTCTCTAGGTTACTGCAGTGATGTATGGACATACAGTTCCCTCCCTCCCTCCTGCTCCATTTCTGTCCCTTTCATAGATGAATATAAATATATACAGTCTATTTTTTTTTAAAGTGGCTCACAGGACCAAACTTTTCCATTCAGAGACTGACTGTGTGCAAGAGGTATCAGGGGACAGGAGTTTACCTTTGCAACAGTGTCTTCTCAGCAAGCACTGCAGAAAGGCCTGAACATTCTGAGAAGGTGCTTGGCTAGAGTGAGAGATAGCGAGAAAGAGGAGAGAGAGAGAGAGAGAGAGATATAAAGACAGATAGAGTGTGCATCTCTCTGCTCAACACTGGCACAAAGAAGGAGAAAAACTTACCTCCAGGATTAGGGCACAATCAGCTGCTCAGCTTGAGTCAGTCATCCACCTTAGCCTGGCTAAGGGTCTCGAGCTCAGTCTTACCTTTCCAAGGGCTTCTGCAGACAAAGCTCCTGAAATGTTGTGCCAGACTCTGTCCTGAGCATGCCCTGAGTAGGCTGAAAGCACATGAACCCAGTCCCTCTACCTGCAGGAACTGCACTGCCTCCCCAGACGTGGCACAGCTCTGTGTCTCATAGCTCTCCATGCTACAAGCATTTCCTTGATGAAGGTGAGAGAAGCTGAGAGAGTGTGAGCAGGTACAATCAATCTCCAGAAGAGTGACAGAAACCTTCCAGGGGCCACACACTGACTCCCCACATTGGATGACTTGCTGCTGGGGCCTGTGCAGCTCTGACTCCCAGCTGAGACAGAGAATTTCCCTCTGAATTTAGCAAGAGGACTCAGTTTGTGCACCCACTGCAAAGCTTTCCCCAGCAGATGCAAGGACAAGATGCCCAAAGTTGCCCTTGTGGCTCTTTCCCAGCACCTCAGTGTGTGCACGTGGTGTCTGAGCACAGCTCATGGTTCAGGACTTGTTGGCTGCCCTGGGAGGGGAGTGTGGCACAGGACATCCCTTTCACAGCTTGAGTATCTCTGAGTTTCTACCAAAATAAGGAAAGAGAAGCAAAATGGAACAGCCCAACCAACCCCACGATGATTGATTTCAGTATTCAGAGTCTGACAAGGTACACAAACATTGTGTGTGTGTGTGTGTGTGTGTGTGTGTGTGTGTGTGTGTGTGTGTGTGTGTGTGTGTGTGTGTGTGTGTGCGCACAGGGTTGGTGGGGAAAGGTTGATGCAATTGATTCTGACGTGAGTTATGGGGATTTTTGGAGAACCTCAGCCAACTCTCATCCTCCTCCAGTTTCCCTTCGTTCAGGTGTTCGTGGCACAGTTCTATAAGTACCTTCACATCTCCTCAACCCCCTTCTGTACCTGCTGCTGAGAGTTTGAGGTGGATGAAGCTGTGTGTCTGTGTTTCTATAGTCCATGTTTACTTATTGTAAATACCATTTTTATACTTAACATCTATTATGTATGTGATTTGTATAATGTACTTTATTTCTGCTACAAGTAATTTCATGAAGTTTAAACTTAGTCTAATTTTGAACAAAAAAAAAAAAAGACCAACAAATGCAAAAATGGGAAAAAAAAAAAAGGACTTTGGAAATTCTAGGTCAAGCTGGTTTAAAACAAGCACTTACAGTTTCTTCCAGCAGCTACTGGTGAGACTGTACAGCGTTACTGGTGCGATCCAAGCTCTGTCAGTGTCAAATTCCTCACTCTGGTCAAAAAAAATCCTAAATTTATTTAATAAAAGTTTTACTTGCTAAGTAACTGGGGCTCTGCTTTGTTTTGTGAGTTGCAGCTGCTTTGAGCTGGTGCTGACACTGAGCCCTGGGGGTGACTGAACTGGTCCCACACACTTGGCAAACATCTGCCAACAGGTCTGTGCCCACAGAACTCAGGTGACCAACATTTCTCCACATCAACATAAGGTACCAACACATTAAAAACAGTTTAATTAAAATATGGGGTAAATTCTGTTTCTAGGAAGGGAGAAGGTTCACAAAACCAGTGGAGCAGGATGTCCTGGGAATATACCAGGACTCTCTCTGCAGACAGAGGCTAAAGTTGAGCTCAGAGGACACTGAGGGCAGCAAGAGGAAACAGGGGAGGCTGCAGCAGGGGAGAGGGGAGGAAGGCTAAGGAGAGATCCCTGAGTGATGGGTAGCAACATCAGAACCAAGGCTGGAGAGGGAGACCAGGAGCTGTCCTAGGAGGAAGAGGTTCCTTTGCCTGCTCTGCTCCTGCTGGACACCAGTTGCTGAAGGGGATGCTCAGTGGGATGAGAAGGGATGGAGGGTGGGAGAGGAGCCTGAGTGGACATCCCTTAAGTGCTGCTGTAGTTGTAGAAGCTTTGCAGCACCCAGTCCCCATTGCTGGGGGACAGAGCCCAGAGGCAGCAGAGCTGCTGCAGCCAGCTGGGATAGAAGATCTCCCGTGCCCGTGTGGCGCCGCCGCGGACGATGGCGAGCGCGGCCTCGGGGGCAGGAGCAGCACTCAGGTGCACTTTGCCCCTGGAAGGAAAGGCAGAGCCTCACACAGAGTCTGTCAGACCTGCTGTGGTTCTGTCTGTGCAGCCCAAACACCACAGGGCTCAGTGGGGGCTGATGTGCCACCCTGACACGGCCCAGCAGGTACCAACCCTCCCATCCCTCTGGCCAAACACCATCACACACTGGTGCATTTCTTGCAGTTTTTCAGTGCCACTCGCTCCCTCCCTCCCCAGACACACACCTGATGTTCTCCAGCGCCGACTCAGTGTCGATCAGCCCCAGGATGCAGAGAGTGACAGAGACATTTCTCTGCTGCATGGAGAGCTCGTGGCGCAGGGAGCCGAAGAATCCATCCAGGGCAAACTTGGTGGCAGAGTAGGAGGTGGTGAAGGGAGTGGGTATTCTCCCTGGAGAGGAAAAGGAGAGAATGGAGAACACCATCAAACTGGCTGTAAGGAGGAGCCGTGGAGAGGGAAGCTGTGCAAAGACAGTTCTGTCATACTGAATCAACTCATCTCCAGGTGAGTTCCCCTCTGGTTCTGGCCACAGGTGATGCTCTGCAGCTGTGGGTCAGTGGAGCACTGTGAGCAAGTAATTTCTGCACACTTTTCTCCTCTAGCAAAGACATCCCCTCCCCATGATAGGCTACTAAAAAAGATGACCACATCCACACTGGGATTTACAAACACCAATAGTACAATAAGCCTATTCCTTTCCTTGGTGTCTGTGCCATTTCTGTTACCCCATCAGACCATGGCACTAAGTGCCACATCCAGACTCATCTTGAAAACCTCCAGGGATGGTGAATCCACCACCTCATGGCACAGGGAAACACGATGTGCTGGGAACTACTGTTGCCACAAGGCCAGGAGTTAATCCAGGTTAAGACACTAACCTGTGAGGGAAGACACAACCACCAGAGAACCTCCATTCTCCTCCAGGGTGGGAAGAGCTGCTGTGCTAAGTGCCACATAACTCAAGAAGTTCACCTGGAATGATAAAAGTAGCCGTGGAAGAAGCAAGAGGGTTTGAAGGGAAGGTCAGCATGAGCCAGAAAGTCAACACAGTGGTCAGAAATGGAAGAAGCATGGCTTGGGTTTGCCTTTCCAACCATGAGAAAATCATCTCTAAAGATGGGGCCAAACATTGCATCCATGAGTCTTCCAGATCCCAGGAAAAGCAATGGAGAAGATTCAGAGCAAAGGTTACTCCTGGGCTCAAAAATACCTATTTCTTGACAAGAAAGAATTAGCTGTCCCTGATTTCTCTGTATGCTGCTCCTACTCTGCAATCCCTATCCAGCCACAAGGGCATCAGCAGCTCAGGTCTCTCCCCTTTAAGTTTCTCTTGGTTGAGCTCAGATTACAGTGAAGGATTCAGCTTCTCTCCAGAGCCTGACTGCTCCCTAACCTGGACAAAATTTCTCACCTGTGATCCTAAGCTCCCACTCTGCAGCAAACAGGCTCCTTCCAAGATCAACTACAACTAGTGTGATCCACCTGAACCAAGAAAACAGCTCTTGGTACCAAAACCTGGTACCAAGGTGACTCTGTATCTGTGAGCAGAGATTCCAATGGCAAACACCAGTTCAAACAACCTTACTGTGCTCTGCAGTGACATGACTGGGAAGTGTTTGCTGCTCACCTACTGACCTTCCTCAGCACTGCAGAAGTTCTTCCCAGACATTTCTCCTCACAAATACACAACTGAGCAAAACACCTGTCCCATAATAAACCTCCAAACTGTTTGACTTGGAGCATGAATGAAATTAAGGATTTGTTCTCCACCACTGCCACAGCCTTGACTCAGCTTCGGCACTTCCCAGAGCTGTCCCAGAAGACACCAGACTCACCCAGTTCCAGGTGAGCTCTTCCTGCTAGGAAACCTCACCTGCATGAGCCAGCGAGTGTACTCCACATCCCCAGTCCACATCTGGAAATGGGTCACCCCGATGTGGTTCAGCACCAGGTAGTCCAGTCCTCCTGAGGGCAGGAGACAGTGCAGCCAAACTAAGGCCCTAAGCAGCCAAGGAACCCAGAAATGCCCCAGGAGGGTCGAGCCAACCAGCCACCCCCCCAGGAGGCCAGAAAGGGCTTCAGCATGAAGACAGAGATTAAATATGCCCATCTGGGAGCAGTTTGCTCCTCTAGGGTAGAGTTGAAAGGGAAGCTATGAGTCTTGACACCAGCTCTTCAAAATGATGTCTCCAAAGAGATGCCCAGGATGCTTACCCAGCTTTTGGACAGCAAATTGAACCACCCTTTCAGGTTCTGAAGGGGAAGACATGTCTGCAGGGATATAAAATACTTTCTTTGCTCCAAGTGTCAGGCATTTCTCCATCACCTTGGAAAAGAACACACGGCCAAAGATTAGACAAGGTGGAGTGGGGAGAAAAGAATAGAAAAAAAATCACCCTAAAGCACATACTACAGTCAGTGAGAGTCCATTCTGGACAGAGAACACTGGAGTTCTAAATCTATCACTGTTCAGCCCAGGGAGAGCTCATTCTCATAGAGTCATAGAATTTAGGGGTTGGAATGGACCTCACAGATCATCCAGCCCCAATCCCTGCCCTGGGCAGGGACACCACCTCACTAGATCAGGATCCTCTGGACTTGCTCCAACAGTTCCATGTCCTTCTGATGTTGAGGACACCAGAACTGTGTGCAAGATTCCAGGTGGGTCTCAGAAGAGCAGAGCAGAGGGGAAGAATCACCTCTTTTGACCTGCTGCCCACACTCCTGTGGATGTAGCCCAGGATTCCATTGGTTTCTGGGCTGAGCTCTCACTGCAGCTCATGGAGATCTTCTCATCCACCATCACACCCAAGTCTTTCTCCTCATTGCTGCTCTCAATGACTTCCCCACCCAACCTGGAGCTGTGCTGGGATTGCCATGGCCCAGGTGTAGGACCTTGCACTGCATTTTGTTGAACATTCCACCAATGCTTAACAACAGTTCTGAAGGAAAATTCATCATCATGCTGACAACTAAATTGTTGTTTTGGTAAAAGCCCAAATCTCTTATTCTTTCCTTCACACAAGGAGTTAGTTCTTACCTTCTGCAGCACAGTTTCCCTCCTAGCAGTCAAAACAATCTCAGCCCCAAATCTGGCATAGTGATAAGCTATCTGCTCTCCAATCCCAGCACTGGCTCCAGTCAGGAGAACACGGGCACCAGACAAGGTCTCTGGGAAGAATAAAAGGTGTGTAAGTAAGTGAAGGAAGCAGCAGAGGAGCTGCCCTTGACTACTGGCAGAGCTCTAAAGTACAAAGATCTAAGTGCTAAAAAGTCTTGATGCTTCTCCCAAACTAGAAGAGGGAGGACTTTCCTGAAGAACATGTGACCTTAATGACACCATGGGATGACCTCCAGGCACAACTGCCTGAGGTGCATTGATTGATTACTGCCTGTTTGTTGTGGACACCATCCCCAGGCCATCAATGCCAGGGCAGTGACATGGTGATGCAACTCAGCTGAGCCAGATTCCCTCAGCTGTGCCAATATTCCCTCAGCTGTGCCACATTCCCTTTGCCTGCGCTCCTAGACCAAAATCCTTCAAAGCTGAAATTGATTTCTCACATTCTAAAGAGCTGTACAACATAAACCAGGCCATGTGCCTTCTGCATATTGTTTACTCTGCCATCAGTTTGGAAACACATCAGCTCTCTTGGGCTGGGCACTGTGCATCTGTGGAGATGTTCTCAACACCAAAACACAGAAAGAGAAAGGCAGTGGCAAAATGCTATTCGCCCCCCCAGACAGCAGGATCCTGCTCTTGGATCATTTTGTCTTCCTCTCTCTGCCTTATCTCACAGCTGAAGTCATCCCCCTGGTGAGCCTACCTGGGTCAAAAGAGTCTTTCCAGAAGAAAGCTATGAGCACAGCTGCAATGCCTGTGGCACAGAGCACTTTTCCCAGCGGCCTCATATCCCTCCAGGCTGTGGAAAAGCTGAGCACTCCAGCCAGAACACTGTGCTCTCCTCCCTCTGGTGCCGAGTCCAACCTGTAAAAGGCAAGTAGAGTCCTGTGCAGGGCTGAGACTCACCCAGGGAGTCTCCGTCGGGACCCACAGTCACCTCTGTCAGGGCTGGACAGGATCCTTCACCGGCAGTTCCCTCCGGGCTCGGAGCCTCCCCACGGCGAGTCCTGCCCGAGCCTGCGGAGGAGAAACCCCTCGTGTCTAACCTCACGGAGCTCCAA